ACAAACCTATTTATAAAGAGAATATTTATAATCTGATTGGTCAATACAAATATTAATCACGTGCGTGCATTTAGAAAACAATAGATTATATAGACGGGACTGAAAAATTACTGCACGTGCAGGATAGAGAGGGTGTGCATTTATCACTAAGTCCCAAGCTCGGGACCATGTCAAACCGTGCATTTAGAGAGGGTGTGCATTTAGAGGGTGTGCACTTAGAGGGTTTTATCTGTAATTATGTAATGCACGGCGATCATAGTCTAGATGAAATGACAGCGTAAATGTATGGAAACAATTTTGTAATGGACATAATCTATTTGATGGAGAAACACGAAAATTATGAGTAAACGAAATAGAAAAGGATGACAAAAGCATACGCAGAACTTTTTATTTTTTACGGAAAAAAAAGCAACCATGAGAGTATTTTCATTCAATGGGAGTATTGTCTTTGTTTTCTTTTTTGAGTAAGTTCGTGTGAAAAAAAAAAACATTGGCTAAAATCGTAAGTAATGAAGTTTTGATACAACGCACAATAGACGCAACATCTCATAGAGTACGACTATGTGTGGATCAGTCAGATAATCTGTCAAATAGAAAAATAGCGTGTTGATAAATGTCATATTTAGAGAAAAGGAAAGAAATATATACTTTAAACAATAAATAATGGTTTCAAATAGCAAAATACCAAATTATCTTCTTTTTTTTTCACGTTTCAAAAAAAGAAAAGACGAGACAAAATATTATAAAAACCGCCAGTCTCCTTAGTGGTGGAGTGTGGTGGTGGCCACGACTGTGCTGTTACGCAGACGGTACGGTACCTTTGGTACCGTAGTATACCATATAAATATGATAAAACGGCCGAATGAGATCTACATTAAAATTACGGAATTCGGGTATTTGAAGGTTGGCGCGGAAATTAGTTTAGGAAATAAAGCGCTGACAAAACGAATGAAAAGCGAAGAATTATGAATAGGAAAAGCATGTGCATGAGCCTGCATCAGGAGGCAGCGATAAAATTGTATTAGCGTTAATGATCACCATCTACATCCCTTCTACTGTAGTGATATAAATGTTCCGACCCAAATCGAAATCTGACCCAATTCGGAATAGGGTCAACCCAAATCGAAATATGCTCAGAGTGATATCTATACGATATAATCACAAAATTTATGTCGGACACATACTGCACAACAGGGTACACGGCAGGTTATATGTTAAGAGTAATGGTTTCGATGACAACGTTGACTA